CCAAAAAACCAAACCAAAAAACAGAAAGAAACTAAGACTCCAGCACATCACTTCTCCAAAAGAGAGGTGAAACAGTGGTTTGAGATTGTGAATATTTAGCTCTCTCTCTAATGCTGCCTGAGAAGATAATTTGCTTCCCCACATTTCATAATCTTTTTTAAAAAATATCCAAAGAAACCAAGGGGGACTAAAGAGAGATCTTTTCTATCATTATTGTAGTTAAAGCAGGATTGACCATTTTATTCAAATGACAAAAGGCTTCCAATGACTTATAAATTACTACTAATACAAAGCCAGAGAAAATAACATGCAATTTCAGGGGAAAAAAAAAAGGATGCCGTATTTAGTTTCAGATAGTTCAAATATGTATTAATATATTGAGCTAAAAAGAAAAAAAAAAAACCAAACCCACACCAAAACCCAAAACAACCCCACAACATTTTTTGTGATCTCAAAACTGAAAATACTTAATAATGTATCTCTCAATCTGTTAATCCAGAATGCATATCAACACAAATTTCTGGAAACATGGGCATTTGAAAGTTATTCAAGAAAATCCTGCCACCTTCCTCTAACCTAGCAACATAAACAGGAATCCCAGCAAATTATAACTAGCATGGCTGGATAAATGTTAACTATCCTGGAACACTTAATCTTTCCAGTAATTATCACCACCATGAATAGTACAAAAAAAAGCAACTGCATAAACCACAAAAAGTACTGATTATTTGCACATGGAGTCCCCATGACCTTCCCATCCTAAAGGACATCCAGCATTTTTTACACAGATGAAAATTTCTTTTCTTTATGTTCGTTCTTTGTGCATACTATTCATTTCTTCAGACTAAACACTTATGATGGTGAAGTTTCCTTCTCAAAACCAGGTTGTAACAAGACAGTAAACCCCCTTGAAATTATGCAGACTCATTTATTTGGTAAAGATACAGCTTCAAAAAGCTTCCTATATTCCCAAAACATCACATCCCTCATATTAGCCATCTTATTTTTAAAAGAAAGAGTATGGTCCGTGCTGAAAGAAAAGGAAGTTTAGGAAGCAAAACATTAAGTAACCTCATGGCAAAGAGAATCTATCAACTGCATTCAATTTTTCCTATCAAGGGTTTTTAGGTACCTGGTTGGGGGGAAACAGTTACCCAGAACCTTGCTAAACCTTGAAAGTGATAGTGTATTTGATGACAAATATTGCCAAGTGCACTCCCCTGCTACAATTCTCTTCGACTGCAATAGGTCACACAAAGTCAATATTCTGTGATCAGAACTGAACATGTTGACAGGCTCAGCAATACCAACAAAGTATGCCTTCATGCATAAACAATCAAGTCATGCTTCCAAACACCATGAAGAAAAGAAAATAAAACAAACAAAAAACCCCATAAATAAAACTAGGACTTTGTATTTTTCCTTCAAAAAATAAAACCAAGATGTCTGGTATCCAACATGTCTATGGGTCACTGAAAAATTTTTTTCTGAGGAAAACATCAACATTCCTCAGCAACGCCAGACTTTGAACACATACCCATTAACTTTCAGCCACAATAAGAAACAAGAAATACTTCACAGGTATCTGACAGAACTTTGTTCTCTATCAGACAGAGATTTAGGTAACTCACAAACAAAGAGCGTTCCTGCAATTCCACCCCACATACATTAGAAAAAAAAAAAAAAGTGTCTCCTCTCACCCTGACACTGCATCCGCAGAGCAGAAGAGACTGCTCAGAATCTTGCAGACTTTATCTCACAGTGAAAAACATTCCATGCTGAAACCAGACAGAGGCAGTCTGGATTAAACAGATGGCACTCTATTTAGAACAGTTTCACTGTTAATAACATGATAATGGCATTCCTCCTGGAACTCTTCTCATGCGCTCCCAATATCCCTATAAAAAAACCCTGAAACCCAGAAAGAGCTTTACATCAGGATATTAAAAAAAAAAAAGGCACTAGTCTGTCCTAAAATTCTACCAGCATGACGCTACAAAACAACATTTATTCTCATTCTTATAAGAGCATCAGAAATTAATATAACAGAGTTTGCATTCTGCTATAAAGAAACAGCATTATTCTATCATCTACAATTGAGAAATTATTTAAGCCTTTATAAGTCACTGACTGAGTAGCTAACTTTCACCAGTTTCTTTTCAGATGAAGGGGACTATGTACTCAACCTTGAGGAACATAAAAAATAATGTAATTATCCAGATACTAAGGCAATCAACACTTCACAATTGGATAGCCAGAGCATGTAAAAGACCGAGCTCCCCAGAGACAGGTACTCAATGGAACCAAGCAACCACCTCACTCAAGACGCAGCTGTCAAGAGAATTCTTAACTTTCACTTACCTTTCAGTGCAGTTGCAGGATTTCAGGATGTCTCCCCACTTCTCCTACGGAAACAAACAACGATGCTCTTTTAAGATATATCTATCCACTGAAAGCCAAAAGTCTGCTCCTGGCGCCAGCCGGGCTTGTGAGCACCTCCGATCTACCCCACAACTTCTTCCCCCGACGAGGTGAACCCCAAGGGCAGGCAGCGAGCGGGCACAGCCCCGGGCCCCGCGGCCGCTCCGCCGCTCTCCGCGGTCAGG